CGCTAAGGAATGTCGAGAAAATTATTTACACTGGGCTTTCTCTATCTACAGTAGCTCGGGGTCTAGGGTAAATTCTTATACCAATACCATAACAATGTCAAACATTAAATTTATGTCAGCTGCCAGAACAGTACCATGCTCTAATGTGTGTATCTAGCACAAACATGCGCTCTAACACATGTTCTCAGCAAGCAGCAGCATCAGGCTTGTTGAATTTCCAAGACTTCCCATGAATATCCATCAGCCCCTCTTCTCCAGGCATGAGTAGAGGCACAGACCAATGCCAATGCAGAGAAAGAGAATGGCGAAGCTAATGAGCAGCCAGGCCCACCACTCGAGAGACCCACTGCAGGACTGGCTACATGTAGCTCCCTGGTACACTTGAGCTGGCATGTGCAAACGATGGAAAAAGCGGGGGACAAAATAACGGTGAGTCAGATATGTCCATCTCAAGCGATTAGTCGGCGCGTCCGAACAGCTGCCCACAAACAATAACAAATCAACCCATCCCGAAGGCATGCGGCTCGGGAGAGACCAACCATAAACTCCGGAATCCGCATGGTGTTTAAGATTGTCCCTATTCCGATGAAGTTTTATTTTATCCTGCCTGCAGTCGGTTGACGGCCATTTGTCCGTTGTTGTCGGTCCGTCGCCCCCCCCCCCCCCCCCACCCCCCCAAGGACCAACGACGCCCAGCTAATCCCCTGAGACATACAGTATAGTGTGCGCTTGTGTGCACAGTATGCAAGATTGTAAGGGAAACACACGTAAACAAGGTGTGTGTAAACACCCCATACCTAAAGTGTGTGCCGTGAACAACATCCGTGCGGGGTGTGCACAGGCGTTAAGAGAAATGGTTGAGTGAAAGACAGTGAAAGACCCGCTCTTAAAGGTTTTCAGAAACAACAACTGTTACTGAAACAACAAAGTAGGAAGTCCCAGCTGCGATATGATATCGTTCAGGAAACAACGGGATAGGGAGACAGAGAGAGAGAGAGAGAGAGAGAGAGAGAGAGAGAGAGAGAGAGAGAGAGAGAGAGAGAGAGAGAGAGAGAGAGAGAGAGAGAGAGAGAGAGAGAGAGAGAGAGAGGGGAGGGGGGGGGGGGGGGGGGATGGGGGGACTAGGGGGAAGGGAGGAGGGGGAAAGAGAAGGACGGAGGGGATGGGGAGTCCACGAGGACGTACCCGTTTGGCCAGTAGCAGTGTTGGTCACAGCGACCCAGAAGGGCTGGAAATAAGTACCACAGCCACTAGCGGTTATCGCCACGCAGTTCTGGCGTGGCGGTGCAGTCGCATTGTTGTTCGGTTTCAGTGTCGCCCACCGGGGTCCATCGGGGACCAAAATGCGTCACGAGCGAGGCATTGTGTTCGCCAAATGACGAGAAAGGGGATAATGAGAGGGCATGGAAAGGTGGGAAAACGAGAGGAAAAATGATATTGGCATTTTAAGTTGTTTTTTCTTCTATTTCAACGAGGCAAGCCGCAGCGAGTTAGGCTTCCCTTCATATCCATTATTGAAAAAAAAAAAAAAAAAAAAAAAAAAAAAAAAAAAAAAGAGGAAATATATATGGCGATGTTCGAGAAAAACAAAGGAACTTGCGGAGTAAGCACATGAGTGGTTTGTTAGACAATGTAAGGTCGAGATGTAGGACGAACAGAGATGGAAAAAATAGAGACGAGCACAGAGAAGTAACAGGGAAGATTCCCGTCATCGTGGTGACGTACGGCGCAGGCTTGGGTGCAGGCAGGAACGATGACTGACGAGTTCTGGGGGTTTACACACGGCGTGGTGCAGTCGTAAGCGGAAGCTACGCCGCAGAGTGCGGAGACGAACATAAACACAGTAACAACTGTTAAAATGTTCCTCATCGTGGGGGAAACAAAGACGACCGGTTATACGGTAACTGGCAGAGATGAATAATAGTCGAGAGCGAGGAATGTTATGAACCAGAACTGAACTAGGGAAAGAAGATTGCAATGTTCTTGCAGTCTGCTGATTGTGCTCTCAATAAAGTGGCCTTGCTTGCTGAAATGGCCTAAAATGGCAAGGCTGCCACAATAAATGGCGGGAGAGGCGAGCCAGCTTGCAAAGCGACTCGGTTGGTGCTGTCCGCCTGATCTGCCAGAGCCTTGGCTGCTGCTGAGGAAGTTCGAGGTTCGGTGAAGAGACGCTTGAAATATTACGGTTAAGTGGTTGTTAAAACGACTTTGCACGGTTGAGTAGCATGAGGTTGATGGCTCTGGGATTTGGTTTGAACTGAGGGCATGTTATCAAGTCTGGCTGCCAGCCTGGCCGTTGCCTTGCTTAGAGAGTTCGTTCGGGATGATACCGAGCCTAGCACCACAGTGGACAGTTTGGTGCCCCAAAAACTACAGTACAAAATTGGGTGCCTAACCTAGGAACGGACGCGCTAAGGAGCTACAGTGTATGTGTGCTACGCCCCAAAGAGCTAATTTTGCAAATGGACAAACAGCTTTCACCAGTTACGACTGTGGATGCATGTATTATAACTTTGGTGTCATCGAAAAATAAAACAAAAAATAACAATAACAACAGTTGTCGCCCATTGGTTTCTACATTCAACTTTGTTTTCGTGAGGTTGTTCAGACTAGGAGGGATGCATGATAGATGTGGATCTTGGGAAATCACCTCACCTCAACCTTTCAGGTCTCGTAGTAACGATAATGTGCGGCGGTGAGGGGAAATTGTAGGACAATGGAATTTCTGGCTAGGATTCACTCAGTAATTCAGCATTAAAGAATATGGTAAGAATAAACAACCTTCTCACAATGCATACATTGCGTCCATGCACTTTATTTGGGCGCTGAAAATCACAGCACGTGCAGGACAGCACCATTCACAGCACACAGTACTTGATTCCAACACTCACGTATGCAGCAATTACCACACCCACGTGTACCCTGCGGCCTTCGCAGCAGCTTCCGCCTGCTGCGCAGCGATGATGGCATTGGTGGCACGGGACGCCATGAGAATCGAGTTGTTATCTGCGCTCGTCTTCGCAGTGATCGCCTTGTTCAGCAGGATCTTCGCATTCGACACGTTCGCCGACTTCGCGGGGATGGACGCGCTCGCGTAGTTCACGTCAAACTGCGCCTGTGTCACCGCCGTCGCCGCCGCCGCATCCGCCGCAATGCCAGCGTCGAGATCCGCCTTAGCGTCCGCCACGGCCTGCTGCTGCTTCAGGAGCTCCGCCTGGACCGCATCGGGGTTGTCAAGATCGTTCTGCCTCTTAACCAAGAAATCCGCCGCGCGATTCGCCTGGTCGACCATGTCCTTGAGAATAGCCTCGGCTTGGGCCTTCACCGCCATCGCTTCGGCCAGCTTGGCTTGCGCTGCGGCCAGCTCGGCGCCTGTCAGGCTCGAGTCGGCCGCCTTCTTCGCCGCATCAATCGCCTCAATGTTTGCGTCGGCGACCTCGCCCTGCTGGTCGTCCACCAGTTGCGATGTCATGTTAGCGCGTCGCTTCGCGTCCTCCACGGCTTGCAAAAGCGACGTCTCGTCAGTGCCCTGCGCGACGAGTTTATCCAGCTGCGCCTGCGCCTCGTCCGTGGCGTTCTGGAGTGCGGGGATTGCGGCGGCCGTGGCGTTCTTCGCGGCGATCCTGTTCGCGAGGACGACCTTAAGGCGGTTAACGAGGGGTAACGCGTCGTTGTACGCGGCCGTGGCGTTCGCGAGCGTCGCGTTGGCTTTGATAACATCTTGCGCCCTCAGCGCCGCGGTGGCGTTCGCGTTGGCGGAATCCCTGGTGCAGTTTGCGGCGAAGGCTCTCGTCTGGCGCGCCTTGGTGACGAGGAACGGCTCCGTCTGGCCGGTAGCGAAGGACGCGTACGCTGCTACTGCGAGGAGAGCCAGCAGCAGGAAGGATGGGTTGCGAATAGAAGCCATGTTACCTTGCAGTAAGGATTAACGAGTGTGTATAGCAGGATGAAGTGAAGTGTGTTGCAGTGAGCGATGAGTTGGAACTTCTTCAAATGGTTGGAGAGGGGAGTGTGGGAACTGATGATTGCAGCACTGGGGTCTGCTGATATTTTATGAAGACGTGGGATCAATTTGAGGGATGAGGCGAAATCGACATGCGGGGCAGAATGTCGAGACTCGAGACCAGAGAATGGCTACGCGGTTCGGTACAGGGAGGAGAGAGTGAGTCGCGGCTCGACAACAAGGGTGGGTTGGGTTGGCCTGCCCTCGCGTTGCAAGATGTGGCGAAGTGTGGCGAGTGTTGGGCAGCCAGGCTTGCTGTGGTTTTGGTACAGGTCGAGGGTGTCTTGTAAGCTGATTACGGTCTGAATCTGTGCATCGCGTTACAGCACGGTGAGAACTATCACCGTGTGGAACCGTCTCGAGCCACTAGGAATGAACTGTAAATGCCGAACCCCCTGACCAAGGTTCGCAAGCACTGAGCTCAAACCAACAGGAAGCGCGTCTCACCCTCAAGATAAGTTTTCTAATGTGAAGCCGCAGACCACGATGAAGCTCAGAGAAACGCTCCACGAGGCGGAGTGTGGATGCGTTGTGGAAAACAGCTGGCTCTGGGGTCCAGCAATGAGGCTTGAGGGCGAGAGCGAAGGGGTAGCGAAGAGTTTGGGTGGTAACAATTTTTTGGAACTAACCTATACACCTACAGTTCTGTAAAACCAAATCAGCCAGTTCCATTTGAAAAATGAGGCATTGAGCAGATAATTTAAACAACTAAGCATAGAAGATATTATATATTTCGAAAGCATGGACAACATTTCTCTGTCTCTGTGTTGGCGGAAACTCAACTCTTATGTATCAAGTTGCATCAAATCTTCAACAAGATTTGAGTCATACCGCCAATGTTAAATGCTATAGATTTGTCAAAAACGAGAGCTCCTTTACCGAGTAGCTGGACATCACTTGGCATCTCCTCGTGGTCGTAGTTGACCTTGATTTTCCGTTATTCCGCCCTTTCCTCGCTACTGACGTTTGTCTTTCTAGGTTACTGACGCGCGCAATCATGGACGACGAGGATGTTAAGATCGCGAGCGTTCCCAAAAAGCCGATTTTTTTTGGAAGCCTCGAGATTGCCGAGAAGCAGCGGCTCGAGAAGCTGAAGAGGCAGGCTGCTGCGTTCGCCGCGACAGGCGTAGTGGGGGGCGACGATTCGGGCGATGACGGCGACAAGGAAGGGGTGAAGGAGGAGGAGAAGGAGGAAAATTCTGGCGAAGGGGAGGAGGAGGACGAGGATGAAGAGGATGAGGAGGATGATGAGGAGGGAGGAGAAGGAGGGGGATCAGGTACGGGTGAGGGAGTCGAGTACGAGCTATCAGAGACCGGGAAGCGCGCTAAGGAGCGTCAGGAGCAGATGCTCAAAGAGCTCGAGATGAAGCGACGCGCGCGCGCGCTCGCGGTGCCTACTAGCGACACGGCGGTGCGGCTGCGACTCCGCGCGATCGGCGAGCCGATCACGCTCTTCGGCGAGCGCGAAATGGAGCGGCGCGACCGACTTAGGTCTTTCATGGCTAACTTAGACGCCGAGGGGCGGCTCGACGAGCTTTACGAAGCGATCGAGCGGCAAATGCGGGAGAGCGGGGAGGGCGGCGCGGAGGTTCTAGAAACGGAGGAGGTGCCTCAAGCGGAGTTGTTTTATACCGAGGGGAGCAAGGAGCTGCTGTTGGCGCGGCAGGAGATTGCGGTGTTTTCGCTGCCCCGGGCAGGTGAAAGGATTCGGCGCGCGAAGCGGCGGCGCGAGGATCCCGATGAGGACGAGGAGGCGGAGGCGAAGGAGTTGATTGGCGTGGTGCAGGGGATGAGCATGCAGGTGGGTTGAGAGCGGTGCTGAGCGGTGCAGGGAATGAGCTTGCAGGTTAAGGATCCCGATGAGGACGAGGAGGCGGAGGCGATTAAGTGACGCGGTGCAAGGACTGCGCATGCAGGTGGGTTGGGAGTGGTACTGGGTGGTGCAAGGAATGCGCATGCAGGTGGGTTGAGAGGGATGCTGAGTGGTGCAAAGGATGGGCATGCAGGTGGGCTGATAGAGGTACAGAGTGGTGCAAGAGATGAGCATGCATGTGAGTTGAGAGCCTTTCTGAATGGTGCATGGGATGAGCATGCAGGCGGGTTGAGAGCGGTACTGAGTGGTGCCAATGTCCCCACTTCCCATCTCCCCCACGCATTTCCAGGTATCAGAGATAGGCGATGAGCGTCCCATCTCCGCCTGCAACCTCTCCCCCAGCGCATCACTGCTCAGAACACTCATACTCCTTCTCATTCCCCCCAACACCCCCTCCCTCCCCCGCCCCCCCCCCCCCCCCCCCCCCCCCCCCCCCCCCCCCCCCCCCCCCCCCCCCCCCCCACGCATCCTCAGGTATCAGAGATAGGCCATGAGCGCCGCAACTCCGCTTGCGCCCTCTCCCCAGACGCCTCTCTGCTTGCCACGTCAGGATTTCACCCCCCATGCCATTGCGCCCCCCTTCTCCGTCCCCTGTCCCCCCCCTCCCTCCCCACCCCCCGGTATCAGAGATAGGCGACGAGCGCCCCATCTCCGCCTGCGCCCTCTCCCCCGACGCCTCTCTGCTCGCCTCTTTGGGCGTTCCCTTGTGTTGCAGCAACCCCCCCCTCCCCCCCCCCCCCCCGCTCATCCTCCCTTCCCCTTCTTCTTCCCCCCCCCCCCCAGGTATCAGAGATAGGCGACGAGCGCCCCATCTCTGCTTGCGCCCTCTCCCCCGACGCCTCTCTTGTTGCCACGTCAGGCTGGAGTGCTGCCTGCCGCCTCTGGTCGCTGCCAGCTGTGCGGGCGGCAGGCGCCCTGCGCGGCCACTCAGAGCGCGCCACGTGTGTGGCCTGGCACCCCCACGCGCTCTCCTCGCTCCCTGCTTCCGGCCCCAATCTCGCCACAGCTGGTGCTGACAGGTACAGGAATGCCACGGTGAGAGTAAGGCTAGGGCTATGACTGGGATACGATTGGGGAAGGTGGGTGGGTGGACTGTCGGCTAGGGTTAGGGGGCCTGGCGTGGCGCCCCCACGCGCTCTCCTCAATCCCGGCCCCTGGCCGTAGCCTTGCCACTGCTGGTGCTGACAGGTGAGGGGATGGTGGGGTAGGTAGGTCTGGGGTTTGCATTTGAGTCGACTCAAAAGCGAAAACAGTCGCACCTGCCAGCAGGTAAAGGAGCCACAGTGCCACACTTAAACCGGCGGCTACAGTTTTGAGGCGCCACCGAAAAGCTTTTTCTCTCCTGCCCCTGTTGAGAATCCTCAAAAGCGACAACAACAACTACAGAAGTCACTTTTGAGAATTCTCAAAAGTGATTCCAACTACGGTTCTGAGGCGCCACAGAAGTCTTATCCTCACCCGCATCCGCCTCGCTGTCCCTCCCAACCTCTCCTATCCTCCCCCCCACACTCCTCCCTGTCAGGTGCGCGCTGCTCTGGCCTCTCCCTTGGGCGGCATCAACTCCACCCGACGCCAACGGCCAAACTGACAACCCCGAATTTTCCTCCCGTCCAGCACCTCCTTCCTCCTCCTCCTCCCCATCCCTCTCCACCCCTCTCCTCCGCCTATCCGGCCACTTAGACCGAATCGCGCGAGTTGCTTTTCACCCGTCGGGAAGGTTCCTGGCAAGTACGAGTTTCGACAAGACGTGGCGGTTGTGGGATGTGGAGCGGGGGGGAGTGGAGCTGCTGCTGCAGGAGGGGCACAGCCGGGCAGTGTACGGCGTCTCTTTCCAGAAGGACGGCGCGCTCGTGGCCACGTGTGGGCTGGATGCGCTGTGCCGGGTGTGGGACTTGAGGACAGGGAGGAGCATTCTCGCACTGGAAGGACACGTTAAGCCGGTGGGTTTGATTTGGGAGGATGGGGTTTGAAGGTGTTGTGTGGCCACGTGTGGGCTGGATGCGCTGTGCTGGGTGTGGGACCTGAGGACAGGGAGGAGCATTCTCGCACTGGAAGGGCACATGAAACCAGTAGGTTGGGTGTTGGCTTGAAGCGTGGTTAGGCTTTGCTGCTCTGACCTTGAGCGTGCTGCTCTGACCTTGAGCGTACTGCTCTGACCTTATTCACTGGACGCGCTGTGCTGGGAGTGGGGCCTGAGAACAGGGAAGAGCACACATGGCACATGTGGCACCAGCTGTGATACAGGAAATCCCGGTTCTATGCTTCTACCCCTCATTCCTTGTCCCCCCATCAGCTCCTGGTATGCGATTTATCCCCCAACGGGTAGCATCTAGCTACAGGAGGCGACGACCACACACGCCCCATGTGGGAACTTCGGCGATGCAGGAAGGCGCACCTGTTTAATTATATCCCTCATTCCCTGTTCCCCCTGTCCTTCCTTCTCCTCTTTTTCAGCTCCTGGCATGTGATTTCTCCCCCAACGGATACCATTTAGCGACGGGAGGGGAGGACCACACGTGCCGTGTGTGGGACCTGCGGCGCTGCAGGAAGGGTGCAGGAGGGGGAGGGGGAGCAGGGGGAGGGGGTGCAGGAGGGGGAGGGGGAGCAGGGGGAGGGGGTGCAGGAGGGGGAGGGGGGGCGGGGGCGGCGGAGGGGAGTGGGGGCAGCCTGTATGTGATCCCGGCTCACACGCGGCTGGTGTCGGTGGTGCGATATGAACCGAGGGATGGGCTGCTGCTGCTCACCGCTGGCTATGATAACACTGCCAAGGTGAGAGTGGTGCAGTGCGGTAATGGGGAGTGGGGGTCGTTGGTGCGGTATGAGCCCAGGGAGGGGCTGTTGCTGCTCACTGCCAGCTTTGATTACCACGGCCAAGGTGAGGGTAGGTGGGGTGGGGGGATTGTTGTGAAGGTGATTGTAGCGAAGTTCCAGTTTCCCACCCTTACAACACTCCTCCCTTGCTTCCCCCACCTACCTTATCTCCTCCCTTCCCACCCATCTCCCCTCCCTCCCCCCCCCCTTGTTCCCCCTTTTCTTATCAACTCACAGTTGTGGTCTGGGCAGCACTTCGAGCCGGTAAAACTGCTGACAGGGCTCGAGAGGGGAGATCATGGTTGATTCCTGAGCACACTCAAACCCCTCACTCCCCTGCCCTCTCTCTCCCTCCCTCCTCCTCCTCCCTCCCCCCCTCCCGCCCCCCCCCCCCTCCTTTCTCATCATCTCACAGGTGTGGTCGCGGCTGGACTTAAAGCCCGTGAAGGTGCTGGCAGGGCACGAGGGGGGAGATGATTCTTGAGCGCACTCAAGCCTTCCATTTCTCCCCCTTCCCCCATCTCCATCTCCCTCCTTTCCCTCCCTTCTCTCCCCCCCCTGTCGGTATGGTCGCGGCTGGACTTCAATCCGGTGAAGGTGCTGGCAGGGCACAAGAAGGGCGACGTTTCTTGAAACTTGAGGCCATTCAATTCAAACCCATCGTTCCTCCCACTTCCTCCGCCTCACGCCCTCCTCCCCCATTCTACATCCACAGGTGTGGTCGGGGCAGGACTTCAAGCCGGTGAAGGTGCTGGCAGGGCACGAGGTGGGGAGATGACTGTTGATGCTTGAGGCCCCTCAAACCCCTCTCTCCTCCTCTTTCACCCATCTCCCTCCCTCCTTTCCCTCTCTCCTCCCCTCTTACCCCATGCACAGGTGTGGTCAGGGCGGGACTTCAAGCCCGTGAAGGTGCTGGCAGGGCACGAGGGCAAGGTCATGGGGGCTGACGTGGCAGCAGGTGAGTGGATTGTCATGGGTGCTGATGTGGCAGCAGGTGAATGCATCATTGGCAGCCAGGAGTTGGGACGTGGGGAAGGAACGGGGGAGAGGGGGGAGGTTTAGTGTTTATGGGGATTATGGGATCCCTTGGGAGAAAATGCGGCCATGGCATGGTGTTTCAGTCCTCTTCTGTGATTTGGTTGCCTTTTCTTTATGAATGTCTTATCTCTACCATTTCCCAATTTTTTTGGTATCATAAATTCTTTTCAGATGGGCAATGTATTGTCACAGCGTCTTACGATCGCACAATCAAGCTATGGGGTAATGATGACGTTAGGGCTACACCCATGATGCGATGATGCTTATGGGTCTTTTAAAGTCCGTCACATGCATTGTTAGGTGTGTTGGAAATCCGAATACAGTATGACGAGTGCTGTGTACCACTGTGCTGTTCGGTTTTAGTGTAGTCCACTTTATAAGCCTTCAGGTCCTACAATAATTGTCACAATTATTTTAGGGCTATAATTATTGGAGGTCAGCATTATTGGAGGGTAGAGGGTACAATTATTGGTACACCATTATTGGTGTGAATGGGGTGACTCTGGAAGGGTAATTGGATGCATGTATACCCTCTGTCATTTCATCATCATCATTGTGTCATTTCATTTTTTAATTATCAATGCAAGATTTCTATCTTGTTCTTTTTTACATATACGTTTTCGCTGTAACGGCACTATGCCTTTCTAGCATGGTATCAGAGCTACTCTAGGGGGCATGCTGCCAAATTTGGTTCAGGAATTTACTGGCATTCACTTCAAATAGTTACCTGCATGCAGTCAGAGTACCGCACACCTGGATTACGCTTTCGTACACCTGGTGTTCGCTGTTGGTTACACCCGCGCGTTTTCCACACACTTGGTGGACAGTTCTGTTACGAAAAGTAAAGAATGAAACTGCGCACTCCTAAACCGCAGCTAAGGAAGCATGTCATATCGAGAATGAATGCGAAGGGTCAGAGTTGACTCGAAGCGTCAGATGGTTAGGGTGGATCGGGACCGTCGGAGCAGACAGGATCGGGCAGTTGCAGGCTGTTGGGAATATAAACGCATGACTTAGTGCGTTTCTGTAGTATCGAACCTCACCCGATACTGAAGCACAACAAAAGGGGTATGAAGTCGAAAAGGCGCGTACCACATCAAACCGCAACTGGAGGTTGCGAGCTGTAACCGCCTGGAGGTTACGTAACAGCAAGCGATGCTTCAGTGAACAGTAACCGCCTCGATAGTCGAAGCGTTACGCGTCTCGATAAACATAACCGCTTCCTGTAATCTATCTTTCCTATATATTCCTGTATGCTCTTTGCTTTAATCAATTACTTGTTCTCACATACCAGCACAAGTACATTCACTCAAGTCTTCCGGTGTGCTACTCTAGCACCTACTAGCCTATTCTCTGCAAAGATCCTAAGGCTGAAATTCTCAGCCCAACACAGGTGAGAGGAATTAGGGATCAGTTTCGTAACTGTACACGCCGCATGGTTGGGAATGAATTTGAATAACGGAATATACCCCTTAGAGTACATTGCTAGCTAGGTCGATTCGAATTCCCTTGTACTCAAACTTATATCTTTGTATTTGCATGTTTTTATTATCTCAAACATTTTACGTTCATTCACTCTGCTATTGAGGTCAAGGGCCCACCGACACTGTCTAGCTGTGTGCGAACCTTTTCGAGGAGATCCTAGGGGTGATCACCTTTTGATCGCAACATGGTATGAGAGCGACTAGAGGATCCTTCGCACTGCCATCTCTGAAATCTGGGACATTCGAAAAGTGGCGTCCGGCACACGATCGCGTGTGAGAATGGCCGGAGGATCTGGTGGTCAGACAAATCTGACGGCTGAAGCGGAACCCAACCCGGCTGCGACAAACGAGGAAACGACGACGATCGGCACCGGAGTCCTCGATTCGAATTCCCTTGTACTCATACTTTTAGTCCCTTGTACTCATACTTATATCTTTCCGAGGAGATCCTAGGGGCGATCACCTTTTGATCGCAACAGGTTTTGTCAAGGTCATGGCGCACTTCGATGGCGAAGTGGATCCCGGATATGCGGCTTTTGTAGAAGACATCATGGCTCAGCATGAGCACCTGGAAAGCATGATTGCAAGGGCACCACCAACACTCCAAGCTTCGTTAAGGGACAAGTTTGGAATGACAATTCAGCCAAGAGCAAAAATCTTTCATGCGTTCAGCAATCCGTCGACCCATGGACAATCTCATTCAAGCACTCTGCGTACTAACCAAAACTGTGCATCAAATGTTCACGCAGGAATTGATGGTGAAGGGGAAATGGGCATACGTCAAGGAGGAGAGTCATCCCAAGGGAGGGATGCATCCGTCCAAGGAGAGGAGAGCACCTATCCCGCACCTCAATCGTCCATGCAAAGGGAAGCACTGGGGGAGAATGTTGAGTATGGGAGTGCAGAGCATGGTGGAATGAGAAGTGGACAGGTTGGGCAGGAGGGTGACGGAAATGGTCAAGTGGGCGTGGAAGGTGTGGGTTTTGCTTCCTACACTATTGGTGCTCCCCCACTACGACAACTTGCGACTAACTCCCATCCCATTGGAGTTCCTCCCATGGCCAGGTCTCACCTTCATGGCGGCTATGACATACCTCCGCGTGCACCACTTACATTGATAGGAGTACATCCTGTGGAAAGCATGGGACGGATGGGATACGGAATGCAGTCAAGTGGCGTCAAGCAACGTGATTTAGTGGAAGTGCTGGAACGTCAATTTGGTGGACAGAATGGGAATATGCGGCGCACGGTACAGCTACCTTGACCGTCAATCGTGCCTACTCTCTTCGACCGCACTCCACGTGAATACACGGAAGAAGACAAGGAACGGATGCCACGCAAAATGGTGGGAGCAACGGTGGACAAGACGTTCACCACTACTCTGTTTGATGGCTCCAACTTCCGGGAGTGGGCACTGCGGTTTCGTATAAACACTCGCGTCACGAATCTGTGGGAGTTCTTTGTGACCCTGCAGTATCCGGTTATCATGGGAGATGGTGACATTGACGACGCTATGGGGCAGCTTGAAATGCTACAGGCGGATTACTCAGCGTGCAGCGCTCGCCTTTTGGGTCCTACTGCACAGCGTGATCGCTACGATTCAGCTGCATTTGGACATGTTCCAGGAATCCTACACCCCGGCATATGAACCATGGGAATACTTAATGGATACTTACTAGGCCAAAGATTCGGTGGCGAAGGTCTCTCTCTTGAAACAGCTGGACAACCTGAAAATGGGGAGTCAAGAGAGGGTGGAGGAGTACTTGAACCGCGCAACGGCAATCCGGGACAAGTTAGCACTCGCGGGGAAGATGGTGGATGAGGACACATTCACCTTAAATCTGCTCACTGGACTACCGGCGCATTGGGAGGGGATGAGACACTCAGTAATGTTACACAACGTGACGAACAGTTTCACCTTGCAGCGGATGAAGATACAGGAGCAGAGGTATCACGACCTCATCACAAAGGATAACCGTGACCGGCGTCCACCACGCATGGCTGGACAAGCACGTGGAGACCGTCCACCTTCTCCAAATGTTAAGGGCAATAGCATGAAGGAGGGGTCCATTGGAAGGAAAACGCATGGCAAAGATAGAGATGCAAGTCGCTCATCTCTCGTGTGTTGGTACTGCAAGGAGCCAGGCCATCCCTTCTTCAAGTGTACCAAGGCACCCCCTGACTGGTCACCAACAGGGTGAAAACCGCATACTAGCGGAAGGACAAAACTGCACACTAGCAACAGCCGTTCGTTCTCTCTACGAAGGAGTCGCAGCCCCAAGCGTGACAACAATGCGTCAAAACAGCAAGGGGCAAGTGAAGGAGACAGCAAGCGCACCATCACATGCATAGCAGTGGTGCGATCGTCACAAGTTGACTTACCACCAGCTGGAGCGTCACCGTGGATGCTGGACAGTGGATGTAGCCAGCACATGACTTCGGATACCTGTTGGTTTGAGGAGTTATACGAGCTGGACGAACCTGTGTATGTGGAGCTTGCTGATGGGAGCCATCTGAGCAGCAAGATGACGGGAACGATCAGAGCAGCTGCTCCTGATGGGACAACAGTTCGCTACACTGAAGTCCTTAACATACCTGGCCTGAAGAGCAACCTGCTCTCCTATTGTCAGCTGCTGAAAAAGGGTGCGCACATCAATACAATTGCCAATGGAGACACGAATTTCACCATGATTGATGGAGAGGAGTATGTGCGGAATGGACTTGGCAAGAACGTGGATGGAGTGCTCGTGGTGCAGTATGAGCATGCACTTACATCCGCATGTGATCCTGGTCAGTCCCGTGATAATGCGTCATCAAAGAAGCATGGTCATGAAGGGGTTACACTTTCCCGCACACCTGGTGTGCACTTGGACACACATGGGAGCATGGTTTTCTGCACACCTAGGATGCACTTGAGTGGCCAGTCTACGCTTGAGAGGCCAGTCTACACTTGAGTGGCCAATCTGCACATGCGTCTGTGACATACCGCATGGCACACAAAGCATGCATCGTGCGGAAGCCGGCACATGATTATACAGCGGATGAAGTCTCACCCCACGTTGTGGTGTGGACTTCAGGGGGAGAGGGGCAAAGGACAACGAATGCTGAAGGTCATGGAGGCGAAGGAGCAGGCTCCACAAAAGAGGACTTACTCGGAGCTGATGCAGCTGATGAAGTCAGTGCAGTTGAAGGAAGCGGAGGTACAGCTGATGGCGTACCTATGACTGGTGTTTCCATTTTGGAAAGGATGTCGGAAATGAGGTGGAAAAGCCAAGCAAGCAGCATCTCATCTGCAATCTGCTGGCTGGTCATGGCAATCAAGTCAAGGATTCTGTTGTTGTACTCACCTGTGCGGCCACCTCAAGCTGCGCTGCACAACAGAGCATCCCCTAACTCCACACTCACTCATGCGCTTGTAACTGTGTGCGGGATCTCTTGCACGGATATAAGCACATGGGCGGGGGGGAGGTGGGGTGTGGAGAGTGTTTGGGGGCAGAAGAGTGGGACATGGAGTCAAGAAGCATGTGGGGAAGACATACTCACCAAGGGTTGCCAATAGGCAGGGGGAGCAGGCAGAAAGGTTGTAGCCGGTCGTCGTCCGTCGTCGTGATGCAGCGGTAGCGTGCGACTGGTTGCTGCGGATGAATGGTACCACTTGAGGGAAGAATGGAGAATATACAAGGGAGCACGCATTTCTGCATACCTGGCGTGCACGTCTCTCCATACCTTGGTGTGCACACGTCTGCAAACTTGGTGGTACTGCATACCTAGGGTGC